GCTTATTTATTTATTAAATAATCCACAGCTCCCTTTAGTTCACATAACTTACTAAACAAAAATATACAACATCATACATAGCATGATGTGTGAAATATGTCAAAGGGAAGCTAAACTGCTTTCACTTTAGGTGAACTCAATTTTTTTTTTTTTTTGCCAGTGTTAACTTCTGTCAGAGTTGCTTGCAACATTATGCTGAATATATATCTTTGCTCAACAATCTAATTCAGATTAATATTTACACATGACCTTTTAAAGTAAAGAATTCCTCAAATCAGTGAATGCATAATCATCCTTCTGTGTGCAGAACCATGTTATTAAAATAATTCTTCCTATGAAATTAAAATAAATTCATAGGAGGATTCTCATAATCCAATATTAATCTCTGATTTGTTTTATACAGGCCTGAAGCTTTCTCATAAACTTTTATGCATTTCAAGACCACCATTCCAGCCTAAAGTACAAATAGAAATATTTCAAAACAGGAGGGGGAGGTTTCCCACTCCTCCCCTCATTACTTGCCTTTATATTACTGTACACAAAAAGATATTCAAATTGAATGGCCCAATAACACGAACATTCATGGATACTAAATGTATCGTGAATACGTGCTATATGAATCAAAATACTGATATACTATTGGGGGACCTAAAGAGCTGAAAGTCAAGAGAGTATCTAGTGACTATTCATCATACTGGAATACCCAGAGTTTGCTTCTCAGTCCCAGTTGTTGGATGGTCCTATGCAGATTTCAAGTTTGCCAGATTAGTGCTACTACATAAATGTTTCTTGAAAAACAAAGCGAAACCTATAGCTTTGTATAGAGCACATAGTTGGTATACTGAAGGTCTTTGGTTCAAGCCCCAGCACCATCGAAGAGAACTGGGTAAATCACTGGAGAGCTAATGCCACTCTACACATAAACTGGCATTTATAAAATGAATGACCTAACTTTCTATAAGATACAATGGCATGGACAACCCTGACAAAGAAGCTAGTTATATCTTTAGACTGGAGAACCCAGAGGTCAACAAGTGATAGATCATGCAGATCTGTGGGAGATTTGCAGTGATTTATAGATCAGCACAGGTTAGGGCACATTATATGCATGCTGTTGAGATGATGATAAAGATGAGAAACTGGGGAGTGGATTTTCTTATGTAGGAATGAGTTCACCTCAGTTGTGGTGCTCAAAACAAACACTTGGGCTCAGACTTAGTAAATATTAAGGGTATATATGTCTCTTGGTTCCAGCAGCTGGTTCTCAGGAGTCTCAAAAACAAGGTAGATACTGGAAGTCTAAAACCTGCCCACTTATCATTCGAGGGATAGGAGGTCAGATAGGAAAAGTACAAAATCAGTACGGCAAACTTCTAATTTATTATCCTACAATATATTCAAAATTAAATGCTACCACAAAAGGCATTTTATGAACATTTATGGTGATTACTCTTTTTATAACTCATAATAGCCAGAGAATCAATTGCTGTTGAGTAATAATTCCATGGACTCTGAAACAGCATTAAAGCTTTGCAGCTCTGTTATTTATTATTTATTTTAAAAATATATGACATCTTCTTTATATAAATTAGCTATTTAATTACATATTTCTATGCATATTTCCTCCAAAATAAATCACATTACATTCAATAGGCTTACTCCCAGGCATAGTATAACAGCTTAAATGATAGACAACAGCAGCATTCCCCACTTAAATTGTCTAAGGAGGGGCATTAAAAACAAACCACTTGCAATGAAGATTTTATCTAATGGGAAGATTTAAACATATGATGGAATCTGGTCTTTCCAGCATTTTCATGGACTGCAAATTGGGCTCTCGCCACTTCTAAGAGCAAAAAATGCAATGTATATCATTCTGGAAAGCTTTTCCCAAGTTATAGACTCTTCCACTCCTTAAAGGTCGACCAAATGCAAGAATTTTCATGAGAGAGTACAAGCAGCTGCATATATTTGTTTTTCCATCTGACCATCTGGCAAAGAAATAATTCATATAATACAAAAAGTATGTTTAAATGCTTTACCTTAGAAAAAAGTACTGGATGAAAACAGAATTTCTTTCCCAAGAATTAGGTTTGTAAGGTTTATGATAAAAATGAGAGAAGACTGCGGCTTTGGGAGTTATAATAAATGCACAGGGGAGGAAAGGCTGGCAAAGGCATCACAGAAACTTCCTCAGGGGGACTCTTCCCTCTACTTCCCAGAAGGCCATTACTACAGAATACCTTCTGGGAAGGATCTTAGAAATATTTTTGATCGGATGGTTCCAGATATTTACTCTATTTTTATTTACAATTTATATTACTGGTAAATTGTTTTGGGAGGATTCTTATCCTAACCGATGGAATATAAATAATTGTAATAAATTATAATACAGTACAGAGAACATGTTTCCTTACAAGTACTATGCAAAAGATGTCCGTGATTGTTGGTTCTGTGTTGTTCCAAAATCTGGTGAGTTATGAAATCAAAAGAGTTATGTATCCCAATGGTGGCCAACTTTCAGGGAAGAGTTTTACATGTAGTCTGTGGGATGTGTGGTGCTGCATCATAGCATCTTGCCTCATACTGTGGCTGTTTACCTTTTATGTCATGAACTGTGACGAATACAACATGCAACTGCAAGCATAGAAAAAATAGTGGACCCTTTCTGTTCTTACCCAAAGGAGCCATAGGTGGCATTTTGCTGCAAACTGACAGTACATATGACAAGAAATATAGATCTTTCTCTGGACCGTATAAAATAGCGCAGAGCAGAGAAAAAGTTTCCAAACATTTTTTTTAAATTACACACTAACAACCAACATGTCTTATAAATCATCCTCCTATAACTAATTTTCCAAAAGCATATGCTTTAATTATACAATTTCAACCTGGATCACAGCAATAAAAAAATAAACCATAAATTTCTTGTTCACCCTACAAAAACATTTTTTTCTTGGTTGCTTCATAAGTCACAGCATGAAGTGAAAAGAAAGTAATGTCCAAACAGCTTACAATCATAAACATACCAGCTGGGAAATTAAGCCCTGATTAATACTATTAGAATTATAAATTGTAAGTCAGTTCATTTCTCCTGTTCCTATTATTTCCTGTTTACATAAGGGAAATCACTTTATGGGAAACGCTATATACATCTTTTAATAATTCATTAATAAATATATTGTAAGCCACTTGGATGAAATGAATTTCTATTATGTTCAACATTTACACAAATGCAAATGCAAGACTATGTAATAAAACTCTGGGGAGAATATTTCACAACTCAATAAGTGGCAAATGGCATGCACAGAGCCACAAAATTTAATAATACTATATGTAATATTGGGACACTGATTAAGTAACAGATACTACAGATAACAGTCCCACTCTCTAACTAGATTTCTCTAGAGAATAAAACAAATCAGCCAAACCCAAACCATTTCTATAAAATGAGCAATACAGCACAGCATCATAAGTCTCAATTTCCACAGTGTCCATTCCAAAACAGGTAAGTTGTGGAATCTTCCAAAAAGCAGAGGGAAGCTACCTTGAGTAAAGACTGCCCCTGCATTTTCTGTAAAGGGGCTTCTAGCTATAAAGCAGAGTGCTGCATCAATCATTAATAAAGTATAAAGATGAGATGCCACATGACATGATTATTTATTTTAAAAGTATTTGAAAGTCATCTTTCTACCTTACAGTAACTTGGAATGCATGCAAAGGGCATACCAACATAACTAGGCCAAAACACAACACAAATATCCAAACAATTTAAAATATCAAGTGGTAGAAACTGAGGGCAATTCCAGGAAAACCCTACCCACAATTAAGATAGCAACCGTGTCACCCTATACATTCATTAGATATAAACACTGTGATTTAAAGCTGGGGAAACAAGGGGAGCTGATGGAACTACCGTTCTTATTGTTTCTTGTCATTTTTAGTTTTAATGTTTTACATAATTTGTAAACTGTTCAGTTGCTGGGAGTCCGGCAGCATGTACATTTCATACATCACAATAACAACTCCTCTTTCAGGGCAAAGCGCCCCTCTTGAAAGCTTTCTTGCTACAGCACAGCAGGCCAAGCTACAACCTCAGGACAGCATGCAACCCAGCCTCTTTCCTGTGGCCCTCAGAGGCCTTTCTTATTTATCATCTTGACACCTTGAGAGGGGAAAGACCTGGCAACTCTATCAATTGGCCTATCTGTATAAAAAAATAAAGAAACCTCTCCCCAAAGCTCTTCCCAAACCAGGCCAGCCCGCTCGCTCTGGGGCCCTCAGCTTCCCCAAAAGTCAAGCAAAGATTTTGCTATGGTGAAATCTTCTATCTATTTATCTATCAAATTTATATAGCCCTCCATCTCACGAATGGGACTCTTTCAGCTTTATACCTCTCCTGGGCTTGTTCTAAACATAAAGCAACACAGAAAGGAGGAAGAAAGCCATGAATTGGGCGGGGGGGGGCAATTCATAAGAGACACGAGTTGCATTTTATATTGTTGGTTCTACAAAGGAACAGCTTTTCTTACCCAGGGAGGGGCATCCCTCCTCATGTAAAACCCCCATGGAAAGCAGCACCGGGGCCCAGCGCTCTCTAGAAGAGCCCTGGATGGAGAAGGGGCAACTAGGCCTCTCATTCATGGAGGGGGGGGGAACACACGAAGAAAAATGGCGGTAGAAAACGAAGCAACTGGGCTTTGGAGGGGGGACGGACAGGCAGCCCCCCTCCACGGGTATGCTTTGTTCAAGAGGCAGAAAACCTGGGGGCCTAGTCGCCCCTTCGCCAGTCAGAGTGAAGGGCCCACTGAGCCTCCCCCCACAGACCACCGACCTGCCCCCATTCCCCCCTCCTCTGAGGGGCGATACA